TTCCTGGTGTTTACATGTAGATGTGTTAAAAAAAACAGGATATATCATTGATTGTACTACACCATAGCAGTTTTAGGTGAGCAAAAGCAAAGGAACAAATTATCTTGAAAATAACATTTAATATTTGGTGGCATAACTCTTTATTTCTTGCAATGACTGCCTCAAGCCTGCGACCCATCATGGGGGGCTGAGAGGTTAAATACAGATTAATCTCTATAGATTTACTCATGTGTATTAGCTTTGTAGAGATCTAATAGAGTGCTGTGGGAAAGGGTAAATGAGGACAGATTGTAGAATGAAGAGCTGTGAGAATCCTGGTTGGATAGAAAAGGAGCTACAGTATATAAATAGGTTTTTTTTTTTTAACATTTACCATCGACATCATCAAACTGTTGATTCTTCATTTGTGATGCTGTTCCAGGCTTTCACCACAGCTTCTGTCAGTTCTTTGTTTGTTTCAGGGGGTTGTCCCTCTTCAGGAGGTGAAAAGCTCTGTTGGGTTCAGGTCAGGTGATTGACTTGGCCGACCTAAACCCTGATGAAGTCTTTTGTTTTGTTGTCAGTGAGCTTTGGGTCATTGTCCTGCTGCAGGATCAAATTCCTCCTGATTAGTAGTTGGGATACATTTCTCTGTAATTCGGCAGACAAAATATTTCTGTACACTTCAGAATTCATTCTGCTGCTGCCATCAGTTCCATCATCAATAAATATTAATGAGGCTGTTCCTGAAGCAGCCATGACATCACCTGCACCGTGCTTCACACATGAGCTTTGGATCACATGTAAAGAGAATTCATTCAAAATAAAGATTTGATGGTTTTCTTTGATAAATAACTCTCTACCTGATGTCATTTGTAAATGACTGAACCTACTATTGAAGCAAGTAAGACCTGATTGTTTTTATGGTGCATTAAAGTGTATCTCCCCCCACTGTGAAAAGATAACTCCGCCTCAAGGCAAAATTTGAAAAATGCATCAAAGTGGGTAGGGGAGGGGGGTTAGAGAGCGGAGG